TGGCAAGCCGGCGGGCGGGGTCGGCGGCCTTGGAAGGAAAACTGCGCAGGGGCCCGCTAACGCCGCCGCTGAGTCAGCGCGAGGCACGCCCCCCGCGTCGTGCCGCGCGGACCGGCGCCAGCAGCAGCCTCATGGAGAGAGCAAGCCGGCTGCCTGCGTGCTGGGTCCCCGGGGACTACAATTCCCAGCATGCAGCGCGCACACAAGGGGCGCTTCCAGGCGGCGGGCCGCACACGTGCTCCCTGGAGCTCGCAGGGGTGGGGGCGTGGTCGGCGGGGCTGTGGTGCATGTCGGGAGAGCGCATCCGGCCGTCCTCTGCGCAGGTTACTGAGGTCCTCTAGGCTGTTAAATGACCGTCCTCGTTGGGCCCTGCCAGAGCAGCGGCCAGAAGGACACTCGACGTCTTCCAGAAAGGACTGGTCAGGTGGTGGACGGCTTTGAGTACTGAACTGCCGAGATCGGAGAGTGGATGTGGTTTAAACCACGTGTTGAGTCAGTTGTTCAGTGCCTTGACCTGGGTTCCACGTGTCGAGTCCAGAAGCTTGAGAACTCACAGAGATGAACTCACAGAGATCTTCACTGTGAGTTCAAATCTAACCTGGCTTGATGATTAAATTCCAGGGATTACCCCGAGAAAACAAAAACAAACTGGGTGGTGGTGGTGCACGCCTTTAATCCCAGCACTCCAGAGGCAGAGGCTGGTGGATATCTGTGAGTTCAAGGCCAACCTGGTTTACAAGAGCTAGTTCCAAGACAGGCTCCAAAGGTACAGAGGAAACCGTGTCTGGGGGGAAAAAAGGAAACAGAAAATATTCATAAGAAGTCTTGGCCTGGAGGGATGGCTCAGCCTTTAAAGGCTAGGCTCACAACCAAAAATATAAGAGTTCAGTTTCCAGCACCCATGGCTGCCCCTCCAGGTACTAAAAAAAAGGAAAAAAAAAAGTCTAGTGCTTGTCTCAAAATGTTGCTTCTTTCATTGGACCCCAAGTTACTGTTACTTTATGGGAGCAGTATAAACTCCAGCTGTTTGTATCTGAAACTGAAGCCTGATACTCCATTATTGTTGGCATCAGGTGTGTTACTAAGTCCATCTCAGTTTGGTTTGGCTTACTTTATTTAGAGACATTTGGTCACTATGTAGCTCTGGTTAGCCTGAAGCTTGCTGCCCTCCAATCTGAGATGAATCTCTTGCCTCTAGCTCCAGAGTGCTGGGGTTCCAAGAAGCCACCAGGTCTGGCTATTGTAAGGATTGTTAGTACGTGTGTTAGACTTAGCTTCTGGGGACACGGGAACAAACGTTCCTCACCTCAGATAGGTACTCAGATGGGACACAGGGAAAAATCTAGCTTGGGGAACCAGTGACTTTTACTTTGTTTACTTGCAGGAACAGAAATGACTTAAAGACACATTGAAACCTTTGAGTTGTTCACTTCCTGAGCTTAGAGTTTACTTTACAGGATGGAATGTTTCAATTCTCCTTTAATTCCTTGTGTCTTGAGCATCCATCTATATTGAAAGATGTTAATCCCAGAGGAAGCAACCTAGTGAAGTCCACATGTAGATTTTGTTTTGTTCTTTAAAGATAGTGTCTCACTATATAACTCTGGCTGTCCTGGAACTCACTCTGTAGACCAGGCTGGCCTAAAACTCACAGAGATCCACCTGCCTCTGCCTCCCGAGTGCTGAAATCAAAGGTGTGCATCACTAAATCTAACTCAACATTTAGATTTAATATCTGATTATTCGGTACCCTGAATACAGGCTGGATGCAATCAGAGACTGCCATGAAGGACGGACAGATCTGCCCTGTTCTGCAAGCCAATGATCCAAGCTGCTTGGGAAGCTAAGGCAGGTGGATCTCAAATTCAAGGCCAGCCAGGACAAAATAGCTATACCCTATCTTAAAAAGTAAGTAAAGAAGTCTGGAGATACAGCCCAGTGATAGTTGCTTGCCTCACATTCACCACCCTAAGGTCAATCCCTGTCACAGCGGTTCTTAACCTGTGGGAATGGGGGGTTGGATGACCATTTCAAAGGAGTCCCCTAAGACCATTGGAAAACACAGCTATTTACATTACAATTCATAACAGTAGCAAAATTAGACTTAGGAAGTTAGTAATGAAAATAACTTAGGGGTCACCACAACATGTGGATCTGTGTTAAAGGTCATAGCGCCAGAAAGGTAGAGACCCACTGCCCTAGTATCACGGAAAAGCTTATAAAACTTGGGAGTGGAGTAAGGAGGGGAATGGAAGAAGTAGAGCAAAATTGATGTAACCATTTAACAGCTACATTTATTTATTGATGTCACTAAAATTCTTTCCCGGGGGAGTCCTTAAGCAGAGTCCACCCCATCATAAGATTCTAAGGACAAGCCCACCTAGATTCCTGCCAGAGTTCGCTCTGGGAACCGGTGAGTTTATTTGGCTTACTTCCAGAGCATGAGTGAAGGATAACTTACTAGAAAACGGGGGTTCCTCTCCCCTAAAAAAGACTGCACTGAAAGTCTTTACCTTTCCAGGATGATGGCTTCTCTGTAGCCACAAAGATGGACTAGAGTTACTTACTCCCGCCCCTAGGTCAGGTGCAGTTCCAGCAGAGGTGCTTGCAACAGGTCTGGCTGGATATAGGAATCTCTAGGCCTTAGTTGCTATGGTCTTTTGCAAGGACACCACGGTTTGCCCTAAGCGGATATTCCTATACAACAGCTGACCGGTTTGAGACACAGCATTTCATATACAGCCTTGAACTGTTTGAAATGTCAGCCTCACTGAGGCTGGAGAGATGGAGCAACAATTAAGAGTTCCTACTACAGGTGGGGTGGATGGTGCTGGTGGTGGATGGCTCACACCATTAATTCCAGGACGTAGGAGGTAGAGGCAGCGTGGTCTACAGATCCAGGACAGTCAAGGCAATACAGAGTTTATCTCGAAAAATCAAAAAAAGAAAATAAAAAGGTCATATTATTCTTCCAGAAGGCCTGAATTTGATTCCCAGCACCCTGTCAGGTGGCTTCAGGGAGATTCAAAACCAATGGCCACTGCTTGTGTCCACACATACGGCACCCCTCCCCCCATGAATTAATTGTTTTATGTCTTAAAATGCCAGGCTTGGCTTTGCTTCCTGTCTGTTTCAGTGTGACCTGAGTCTAGTACTGTGCCAGCCCCTTATTCCAGTTCAAATGTGTCGTTAAGTGAATTTTTGCTTTAGCTGTAAAACAACTTACCTAGCGCTAAGCCTGGTGTGAGTGACTGCAGAGTGGGTTTCACTGCCTCATTTTTGTTGTTGGTTTGTTTGTTTGTTGTTTGTTTTTATTTTTTTTATTTTTTTCTATTTATTTATTTATTTATTATGTATACAATACTCTTTCTGTGTGTATGCCTGCAGGCCAGAAGAGGGCACCAGATCTCCTTATAGATGGTTGTGAGCCACCATGTGGTTGCAGGGAATTGAACTCAGGACCTTTGGAAGAGCAGGCAATGCTCTTAACCTCTGAGCTATCTCTCCAGCCCTTGTTGTTTGTTTTTTGAGACAAGGTTTCTCTGTAGCTGTGGAGCCTGTCCTGGAACTTGCTTTGTAGACCAGGCTGGCCTCAAACTCACAGAGATCTGCCATGCCTCTGCCTCCCAAGTGCTGGGATTAAAGGCATGATTAAAGAAGTGATAGGATGGATACACAGTATGTGTATATAAAATGTAGGTATATAGAGGGGATTTATTAGAGTGGCTTCCTGGCTGTGGTCCAGGTAGTCCAATGATGGCTGTCTCCAATAGGAAGGCCAAGAATTCGGTAGGTGGATGTCTCAGCAGTCCTGATCTGGTGCTGAAATCCCTGGGAATTCCCAGAGAGCTGCTGGTTTTCCATGCATACAGGAATCCCAAAGGGGTAAGTTCTAATACTGTAGAAGGAATGTTTTAGCAACAGGATAAATTAACTTACTAACAATAGTGAGGGCAAGCAGGCAAAAAAGCAAAAGCTTCCTTTTTCCAACTGCTTTCATGAGGGCTGTCACCAAAAGGTGTGGCCCAGATTTTGTGTGGGTCTTCCCAACCTCAAAAGATCCAATCAGAAAAATCCCCTCAGGCTGCTTGGGTTTCAGTTGATTCCAGATTAGTTGACAGCCAAGATTGGCCACCACACCCACTCAATGGCCAGTTTTCTTAATTTATACATTTCTTTCAACGGCTCTTTTTTGTTTGTTTGTTTTTCGAGACAGGGTTTTGCTGTAGTTTTAGAGTCTGTCCTGGAAGTAGCTCTTGTAGACAAGGCTGGCCTCGAACTCACAGAGACCCGCCTGCCTCTGCCTCCAGAGTGCTGGGATTAAAGGTGTGCGCCACCACTGTCCAGCTTCAGTGGTTCTTTTAACTATTTCTTTCACCCATGAATTTCTCTTGCTCATTATTTCCGGCACTATGATTTCAGGTTTATCTTTTTGTCTGTTCACTGTTTTCTTCAGTCACATGCCTCATTTTGCTTTCTTACGGTTGTCCCCAGGGTTATTCTGTAGTCATTTGATTCTCTTTGGTGTATTTGTGCCCCTTCAGTAGTTACCCATTTCCACAGTTTTAGCACTTGATAGGCTGATTTCCTGCAGTTAGTTCTGTACTTCTGGTTTGATTTTTTTAATTTTGTTTTGTTTTGTTTCGTGAGAGAACATCTCATTTGGTACAGAGACTCAGAGGTTCCTGAACACAGGGACCTCTAGACATGTTGGATTGGAGGGACCACACCTGCCTTGGTGTTAGTTCTGAGATTATCTCTTGGTCTCTCTACACCAGGAGATGCTGGCATGGGGCCCACTTGTCATGGGAGGACTGCTGAGCTGGCTGCTCTGGAGAGCAGAGCTCGTCTTGACCCGAGTGTGTCTGGGCAGCCAGGAGAAGGGTTAACAAGGGTGTCTGCTGGGGCTGAGGTAATGTTGGTCCTCAGTTTGCTCAGCCATGAGAATCCTCAGAGGTTAAAGGTTAAAGGTCTCTTCTAGTTTCGGGGGACCTAGTAACCCCCAAGAGATGTAGCAGTGTTTTCTCCCCTGATCCAACCTCTGAGTATTTGTGCTGCCCTCACCTGGCTAAGAGGCAGAAAACCCCTCCCTGAGGAGCAGAGAGAGGCCTTACAGGCTACCCTTTTAGTGGTCTGACTTAAAAGAACATGAGAGAATTTTGATTTTGCTTGGTGGGAGGGAGGAAAGTACCAAGACTTCATGTTATGCTTGACTATGGCTGGATTCTAACCCTGATGATCATGTTGGAGGTTAAGAGAATGAGGACAGCAGTCGTTTTGAGACGTAGGGCCTGCGTGCGCAGTGTGTGTAGTGTTCTGCAGCAGACTGTACACTGCAGACGGAGGGCGTGCATGCGCAGTGTGCGTAGTGTTCTGCAGCAGACTGTACACTGCAGACGGAGGGCGTGCATGCGCAGTGTGCGTAGTGTTCTGCAGCAGGCTGTACACTGCAGACGGAGGGCGTGCATGCGCAGTGTGTGTAGTGTTCTGCAGCAGACTGTACACTGCAGACGTAGGGCGTGCATGCGCAGTGTGTGTAGTGTTCTGCAGCAGACTGTACACTGCAGACGTAGGGCTGCATGCGCAGTGTGCGTAGTGTTCTGCAGCAGACTGTACACTGCAGACGTAGGGCGTGCATGCGCAGTGTGCGTAGTGTTCTGCAGCAGGCTGTACACTGCAGACGGAGGGCGTGCATGCGCAGTGTGTGTAGTGTTCTGCAGCAGACTGTACACTGCAGACGGAGGGCCTGCATGCGCAGTGTGTGTAGTGTTCTGCAGCAGACTGTACACTGCAGACGGAGGGCGTGCATGCGCAGTGTGTGTAGTGTTCTGCAGCAGACTGTACACTGCAGACGTAGGGCGTGCATGCGCAGTGTGTGTAGTGTTCTGCAGCAGTCTGTACACTGCAGACGTAGGGCGTGCATGCGCAGTGTGTGTAGTGTTCTGCAGCAGGCTGTACACTGCAGACGTAGGGCCTGCGTGCGCAGTGTGTGTAGTGTTCTGCAGCAGGCTGTACACTGCAGACGTAGGGCCTGCATGCGCAGTGTGTGTAGTGTTCTGCAGCAGACTGTACCCTGCAGACGTAGGGCCTGCGTGCGCAGTGTGTGTAGTGTTCTGCAGCAGGCTGTACACTGCAGAACAGGTGTTTGCCACACGGAGCACACCTGAGCTGAGCCCTACCCTCTTTTACCTTTATATGCATGTCCTTCTTTAAGCTGGAAAAATTTCATCTATGATTTTGTTAAATATGTTCACTGGGTTTTAAAGCTGGGATTATTCTCCATCTATTCCTATTATTCTTAGGTTTGGCCTTTTCTTAGTGTCCCAGTTTTCCTGGATGCTTTATGTTAGGAATTTTGTAGATTTAGCATTTTCTTTGACTGATCAGTGTATTTTCTCTATCTTGTGTTTGATACGTAAGATTCTTTCTTCCATCTCTTGAATTGTTTGGTGACACTTGTGTCTGTAATTCCTATTTGTTCACCCAGATTTTCCCTTTTCAGGAGTCCCATTTTTTTTTTAATTGCTTGTATTTCCATTTTCAGGTCTTGAACAATTTCCTTTATCTGTTTGCTTTTTATTGGCTTTCTTTAAGGGATTTATTGATTTCTTCAAATTTTTGTTTATATTTTTCTCAGTTTCATTAAGGATTTTTTCAGATCTTCTTTAAGGACCTCTATCACATTCATAAAGTCATTTTTTAAAAAAGTTTTTTTTAAAAAAATATTTATTTATTTATTTATACAGTATCCTGCCTGTAGGTCAGAAGAGGGCAATAGATCTCTTTATAGGTGGGTGTGAGCCACTGCGTGGTTGCTGGGAATTGAACTCTAGAAGAGCAGTCAGTGCTCTTAACTGCTGAACCATCTCTCCAATCCTCATAAAGTCATTTTTAAGGCTGTGATTGTGGTTTAGCTGTGTTTGATTGTTCAGATCTTGCTGTTGTAGGATGGTTCAGCTCTGTTGATGCCATATTGCCCTTTCTGCTATTGTGTTCTTCGCCTGGTGTTTTGGCATCTGGATTGGGGGTGATTATAGATAGATGTAGGTGTTGATTCCTGCATTTGTCTTTGTTACATGTGTGTTTTGTTCTTTGATTCTCCTTTCTCTCTGGTCTTCTGGCCTTTGGTAAAGCCAAAGTCTTCTTCCAGAGTTGTAGATCAGGATATAGAGCCAAGAGGAGAGAGTAGAGTCTGTGGTTTCTAGATCTGGTCTGATCTCTGGGGTCCCTATGACCAATCTAGCCTCCGGTCTGACTGCAGGGGTTGGGGTCCCTTGTTCAAGATTTTGCTTTAGTAAAGCTAAAGTCTGTTTCTGAATTTGTAGGCCTGGATTTGGAGCCCATGAGAGGAGGTGCAGCCTGTGGTTTCTAGAGCCTGCCTGGTTTCTGGTAAAGCCAAAAACTTCTCCCAAAGTATTAGGTTAGGATATGGAGTCAAGGGTTTGGGGTGCAGTTTGTGGTTGCTGGACAGAATTAAAAGATCTAGGAGGCAGTGGGAAGTGTCTTCTCTGGGGTTCTAGGACTAGCTTGGCCTGTAATAAAGCTGCTGGGGCTCAGATTTTACAGTTTTTAAATCATACCCAATATGCTTACAAATCTTCAGTTAAGGTTTATACCTTAGCAAAAGTTCCAAAGAGTTGGACCAAACCCAAAAGAGTATGAGATGAGCAGCAATAGCCCCCTTTGTCAATATTCTGTCCCTTTTTTTGCTTTGCTTTTTTTCCTGTCACATAGGCAGGTGGCTTGCCTAATATGGGACAGAAATTTTAGAGGAAATTCTTAACCAAGCATGCTTGGGTCTAGAGGAGGAGTCATATCTGAACACCAGAGCCAGCTTTTAACTGCAATGGGACAGCACAGGGGAGCAGTGGAATGCCAGCTGCAGTGCTTGGAAAGTAAACAGCCCCAAAGGAGCGGCACTATCAGGAGGTGTGGCTTTGTTGGAGGAGAAAGCTTGTCACTTTGGAGGTGGGCTTTGAGGTCTCATATATGCTCAAGCCACACCCAATGTCTCAGCTCACTTCCTGTTGCCTGCTAGATAGAAAACCCTCAGCTGTCTCTCCAGCATCTTGTCTTCTTGCACACCATCATGTCCCACCATGAGAATGGACAGTACATCTAAGACCATAAGCTGCCCCTCAGTTAAAGGTTTTCCTTTATAAGAGTTGCCATGGTCATGGTGTCTCTCTGCAGCAATAGAAACCCTGACTAAGGCACCACTCACACTTAAAAGATATCTGAATCCGCGTATAACTGAATCGCGGTAAGCCGAGAATAAAGACGGCTTAGAGATAAGGGTCAAGGGCTTAGCCTTGCGAAACTCAGTCCCTGGGATCAGGGGTTTTGTGAAGGTCAAAAGGCGAGGACAGAAAGTGACCTCCATTTGGTTAGTTGGGTGGGTGGGGTCTCATCCACAGGTAAGGGTTGGAGAATAGAGTCACGAAAGTCTCAGGGCCTGTGCATTACAGGCAGCTCCAAAGGGAATGCGGGAGAAGAGAGCAAGAAGGGGTGCAATAGCCCAGCTTGGCCTAAGAAACCTGCAGGATTATAGCTCCAAGGGTGGGGGGATATGGTCAGGTCAAGAGGACCATCCGGAGCCTTCCATGCCATCACCTAGGGTACCTTTGTATCCAAGGATAGCAGAGGGGTGCCAGACCCTCAGCAGTTACTTTATCAGACTCAGGGAAACGTTTACACCAGGCAAAGGGGAAGCTTACCTAATTGCTGCTGGTGGATGGGGTGCAGAGCGATCACTGGGCCAGAAAGCAAGTCTTATGAGGGTGGACAGAGATGAGGGAAAGGGTCCTAGTGTGAGGCCCCGAGGGAAAACACAGGCACCAGGAGAACCTATTCAAATCAGGAAACCAATATAAGTGTTACAGCTCTGAAGAGAAAGGTATCCTGGCAGTTGTGAGGCTAGGAATAACCCAAAGTTATATTGCACAACAAACCTCACACAAGAGATTTATTGGAAGACAAGTAGGAAGGTAGTTGTCTCAGCTTGGATGAGAAACAGCAGAGAACTGATCAGAAGACAAGGCTTGTATACTTTCTAGAGAAGGGGAGCCAGTTTTTCCAGGGTGGAGATTTCAAGTCTTGAGCTTGGGTGGACTTTTACTCTATTCTGAGGGGGATGAGTTTAGCCATTAGGGCAATTAGAGTGTTCTGTGGGTGGTACTTGGTGGTTGGATGTACTAATGGGAGGGGCTTGGCATTGATGGGATTACAATATGTACCAAAGGAAATATTTATTTGTACCCTTCCTATATATATGTTCATTATAGAATATTGAATGGGGAACATTTGATGTGAATTTGATGACTAGAGTAACCAGACTGACCACAGACTGACCTCAGACTGCTTCAGACTGCTTCAGACCACACTGAGTTCCTGTCACCTCCTGTCTTATATCCCTCTGTCTTTGCCCAGCCCTATCACTCCTGTCTCCACCAGTCACCTCCCTAGTGTTGGGATTAAAGGCATAAAATCCTAAGTGCTGGGATCACCTTAGTGTGAGCTCTGTTTCTCTTTCAGACAGATAATCTCTTGTAGCCCAGGGTGGCCTTGAACTAACAGAGATCCCTCAGTGTCTGTCTCCAGAGTCCTGGGATTAAAGGGGTGTGCTACCATTGCTTGGCCTCTAGTGACTTAGCACTGCAGTCTGATCTTCAAGGAAGCTTTGTTTGTTAAAACACAAAGAAAATATCACTACAAAATCTAGTGGCAAGAAAAAGTATACAAGTGTGAATGGGCAATCCTATGCTCAGTGGTGCCCCTAACCATTAGGGACATTATTTCTGAGCTCTGACACATTAAGGGTCACAGACATAGGTTTTCCCTTCTCCCTGGGCTACTGTTGTCCTAGCAGACAGCAGGGCCATGCAGAGAAGGGTGAAGTCACCTTAACTGTAATGGTGCTCATCATTTTCACCAACCCTGAACCCAGAGCTGTGCATACACGCTCACCGCACCTTGTGACAATGTCACACCCCACCCAACATGTTTAAGCAGATCATTTTTTATAAAGAATTGCAAAGCTTTCCCACAATTCTGGAGGCATCAAAAAACGACAAGGTTGAGCCCATGGATATATTACACGTTTGTCTGTGGGCAATGGATTGGATGCAGTCTCACTGTTCACTATGCACAGACAATCCTCCACAGGACCCCACTAGAGAGCAGCATCACAAATGGCTCACTGTGGTCCTCATGCTGGGCATGTGAGAGCCTTCGACCACTTAGAGGGCACTGAGCAGAGGCAGGGCCTTTTCAGGGTGTAGAGCAGCTCATTTGGATTCTCATCAGAGGACAAACACACATGAACACGCACGCACATGTGCACACACACACACACACATACACACACACACACACACATCCAAGCGCACACACACTCCACATCACTGGCCACCTAAGCATGCAACTTGAGGAAGGTTACGTACATCAAGCTAGTCCAGGTCTCATCAAGAAGAAGTGAGCTGTCCATATCATCTAGTCACAGAGCTGGGGAGGCCAGCTTCTCTCACGACTTAGTTACCCAGGGTGCACTAGCCAGGCTGAGGGAACGCCCACTCAGGCTGCAATAGGAGACAGGCTTCCCTGTAGAACAACGGACGACTGTCCAGCACAGAGGACAGAGAGGCACAGTAGCCAGAAGTGATTGACGGCAGCGGTCTAGCTGTCCTCCCTACACACGGGCAGAGTGAGAGACACCATGGCAACAGCAACACTCACAGAAGAAAACATTTATCTGGAGCTGGCTTGCACTTTGGAAGTTTAGTCCCTTATCATCATGGTGGGTGGCAATGGCAGCATGCAGGCAGACATCATGCTGGAGAAGGAGCTGAGAGTTCCACATCTTGATAAGCAGGTGACATAAGCAACGGTGTGTTACACACTTGTGTAGCTTTAGCAACAAAGTCCTCAAAGCCCACCTCCACACTGACACACATCTTTCAACAAGGCCACACCCATTCCAACAAAGCCACACCTCCCAACAGTGCCACACCCTGTGGGTGTCATTTTCTATCAAACCACCATAATGACCAATCAATATGTGTAGGAAAATTCTCAGGAATTGACAGCACATTTTTAGAGCTTGTAAACAATTCATCTCTCTCTCTCTCTCTCTCTCTCTCTCTCTCACACACACACACACACACACACACACACACCACATACACACACAAAGGCCAACACAGGTCACATAGAAGGACCTTGCCACACAGCTGCACACCAGCCATGCACAGGGAGGAATCCAGATGAGAGCATCAACTTAAAAGCACATCAGCAGGAAAATACACAGATACGCCATTCAAACAGTCATTGTTTCTGTTACATGCCTTGTCCCTGCTCTCCACAGTGTACCTTATCTTCTCTCCAGAAATTCTTAAATAAATGTCTACAATGGGTAAGACAGATAGCAGAAATCAGAACATGGAGCTAAAAGAACAGCGAAAGTCAGTTGATGTAGAAATGGAAGGTTCATGGATAAAGGACGATACTTTTAAAATTGTTCACACA